CCAGACACCCCACAGCTCAGGGCAGGGAGGGGCCGAGCGCTGCCGTACCATGATCTCCATGGAGCTCCAGCGCGATGTGCCCCAGTACATTGCCATGCCCTGGTTGATGACGTGGGTCATGGCCCGCACCGTCTCTGTGGCGACAGAAGGGGGAGACGTGGGTGGGCGAGCTGGGGCTCAGGCTCGGCCTGGGGAACTTTCTGCAGACACAGGCAGGATGCCGGGAGGAGGAGGGAGGGCTGCAAAGATGTCTTGCAAGCAGTGTACTTCCTGGCTCTGAAGCTAGGGTGCGTGCAGGGGGGTTCCGGGAGGACAGAAAAGCCAAGAAGTTGGTCTTAAAAAGTCTCCCCAGTTAGTTACAAGCTGTACAGGATCTCGGGGAAAGTGGCTGCAGTAGACTGCGAGGCTCAGTGGCGGATGAGGTGGGACTCTGGACTCTAGCATGGGGGTCTCGAGTCTGGATTGGAACTCGGGTCTTGAGTCCGGGGTCACTCAGGAAGGAGCCCGTGAATGGGTTATGGCTCCAGTCAGATTGGCAGAAGGCACAGGAGGAAACATGGCTTTGCTTGCCTCTAGGGCATATTCCACATGCTCTTTGGAGCAGAAGGTGCAGAAGGAATGACGGGGCTGCAGGAGCCAAGGGCAGGGCACAGGACTGGGGCCCCTTGGGCCAGGACAGTCGGGTGCAGGCACAGAGAGCCTGGCTTGGGCCACGCCTCAGGCTCCGAGCAGCACCGGGCCAGTGACTCCCCAGGGCAAAGGCCGAGCAGGGCCATGGAGGTGTCCTGGGAGGGGGAAGCCCAGTGATGTGGGGGCCACTGAGACTCAAGAAGGTCTGTGCAGCAGAAAGTCTGCAGTCCTAGGTCTTCCCGGGCTGTGGGCTCTCAGGATGCCATGGCTTTAGTTTCCAAACTTCTGCCCTGGCCTTGCAGGGCACAGGCTGCCCCGGGGCCTCCACAGGGCCCACCCAGTGTTTGCAAGGCCACTACCCAGGCAGCATGGGAAAATGCAAGAAGTATTTCTAAGACAGTGGAGGGACATCACTCTGGGGAGTCCGAGACAGGAGAGCAGGCAGTCAGAAGAGGCCAGTTTGGTGTGACACCTCAGCCTCGGAACAGCACTGGGCACATGGGTGCCTTCCCCCGCAGGACCGCAGTGCTGGCTTCCCAGTGCCACTTCCCCCCAATCCTGGGTTCCTAAGCACTTTGTTGGCTAAGGCCTATCCTGGGTGGGACCCTGGGCGTCCTAAGGACTGGTGCTAAGGTGCCAGGGCTGCTGTATTGGTGGTCCTAGCGGGTGAGCCAAGACCCCAGGAAAACTACACCTCGGCTTCCAGCCCTGCCGTCCCCTCCCCTCCAAGGTCAGGAACTGGGACACCCAGGGGTCCCAGATGGGGGGATGTGGGAGGGGAGTCTGGACCTCCTGGGATCTTGCTGGGTCACCTGCTTTGACGCCACCATGTTAGACGTGAGGAGGAGGACAGGGCTTGCGGGGAGGGGTTCAGGGAGATCTAGAGGGCCCAGGAGCCTCCCCACGGAGCCAGCTCCTGGTGCAGCTGTCCTTGTCAGACTTAGAAACACTCTGAGCGCCTGTGACCAGGCAGCATGAACCCCCATCTCTCGAGCTAAGCTTTGGCCCACATGCCAGCAAGAGGGAGCCCAAGGACCAAGATGCCAGCTTGGCTCCCTCGCCCTCCCTCCTCTCCTGTCACCAAGATTCCGATCATGAAGCTGCACGATGCCCTGAGCATCTGCTTCCATGCTGTGTTGGGCCAGGGCCCCCAGGGGAGTGCCTGTGGGAGGCTGGCATCCTGAGGCAGGGCTCTGGGCACCCAGGGTCTGGGCAGAGGCAGCTGGAAGGGAACCCACTGCAAGAGCACGGGCACGCTGTCCATCTGCCAAGCATGATACCAGTGGCCCCAGAAATAGGGACATTTAAGGACAGCTGTCCTTCACCTCAATATTTAATGCCATTGGGCACAGCGAGGGTACCGTTTTTCCACCCGGTGCCCAAACCCAGGGCATCTCTGGTGCATCACAAATAATACATGGCAGGGGTCAGGTGGCAGTGCCAGGTGGCAGGCAGGAGCCCTTCTGGCAGGGAGCACTGCCCAGCTCCCAGGAGACCCAGGACTGGCCCTTGGGGTGTGCTTAAAGGGGGAGCGCAGGGACCAAGCAGCGGGAGGCTGCCAGGGGCCTGAGAATCCCACAGTGCAGGTGGAGGAGAGTGGCACCCCTGCTGTGGAGGTGAGAGCACAGGTGGCCCCGCCTGCCGAGGGGACAGGATGGCCCCAGAGCCATGGTGCTCATGAGAAGCCAGAGAGCAGGGGTGGGGCAGAGGCAGGGCTGTGCAGACGTGATCAGAGGAGGAGACACAGGGCTTCCAGGGTGCTGCCGCTCCAGGGTCCCTGGTGGGGGTGCCCCTTGTGGAACCTGCACTTCCCAGCCCTTCCCACCGCACACTCCAGGTCCGGCTAAGGGCCAGCTGCCGGGCGCTGCGGAGCCCAGCCATGCAGGCACGGGGACATGCACAGGAGCCGGGATGACGGCGAGGATGGGGCAGGGCTCCCACACTGCTTTGCTTTTCCTTCCCTCGCAAGAGAGCCTCACGGGGTCCCCAACCCCGACGCATTTTATGGAGAAGTTTGTCATCGGGGACACAGTCGTGTAAATAAAAACACTGTCCCATAAAATGCAGCTCTGACACAGACGTCAATAGCCGGCTGAGGGTACTGTGTACCTTCTATGACGAATGTCCTTGACTTGGAGGAACTAAATGGGTCCCCTGGTGATAAAAGAAAGATTTAAAGAGACCAGAGTTTATAGCTGTGGGAACAGGGGAGGCGTGGTGGGATGCAGGCCAGGACGGGTCGCACAAATCACTGCACAGAACTCTCGTTCTGTTCAAAAGAAAACATTGCGTGTACACACACACGTGCGGGGCATGTATACACACACAGAACGTCGAGAAAACAACTCAGATGCAACTTAATTTTCCAAGTCCCCGAAGCAGCAAAGCATAAACGAAGGATGGCGTAGCCGGTAGCTGGGGAGACTGGAGGGCGCAGGAGTGGAGAGAGGAAATAAAAGCCAAAGAAACCAAAGCTGCTGTGGGCCCACATCGAAGGGGATGCAGCAGGTGCGGCCATCATCCTACTGCCACTCTGTGTCCTACCCAGTGCCAGCTTCAGGGAGGAGGGGGCGCTCGTGTGGTTCTGATGCAGTCAGGGGTGGGCCGGGCACGGACAGGGAGCAGGGCCGGGACTGGCCTGGGGAGCCAGGGAAGGCCCCTCCTCCACCCATGGGACAGGGCCACCATGGGAGCGAGGGGCGGACCCCTGGTCACCCCGGCTGTGCCCGGCCCTTCTGGAGCACCTACCTTCCATGGGCGTGTTGGGGTCTGGGCGGTTGGCGAATACCACGTCCACATAGTCCAGCTGTAGCCGCTCTAGCGAGGCCTTCAGACCTGGAGGACCGGGAGGGACATCATGGCTGCCTACGCAGCCTTGCAAACACTTCTGGGGCCTCTTCAAGAGCACCTGGCTCGGGGAACGGGAGAGGAAGTGGGGGACCTGCTTTCCAGGAGGACGAGAGGATGGGGGGACCATAGGCCTGGAGGCCTCCGTGTGGCTCCTGGCCCCTAGTGGCCCATGTTGGATCAGGCAGAGGAGCAAGAGTACGGTATCTGCTCTCTCCCCCACCACACTGGTGGTATCTGATTCACACAAATCACCATGGAGTGTGTCCCAAGGCCTGATGCTGAGCCCGCAGCCTCTGGGGCCCCAAGGCTGCCGGATGCAGGTCTGAATGGAGAACGGACATTACAGTGCTTGGCAGAAACCAAGGCCACAGGTGCAAAGGCGGTGAGGGTGCAGGAAACCCCGCTGCCTGCTGAGACCTGGGCTGCCTGTGTCCAGCCCCAGTGCCGCCCATTCCGTGAGGGTCCCCTGGGCCCACCTGGGGGGAGAGGGTCGGAACTGAGCTCTGGGTGCCCAGCAGGGCATGGCCGGGGCTCTGGGCTCCCCGGTCTCCCTCCAGTGATCACCATCCTTCCTCACCTTCTATGATGTGCTTCCTGGAAAGGCCCCTCTCTGTCTCTGCTCTGAAAAACAGACCAACAGTGTTTGCGGGGAAATGTTCAGGAAGCAATGTTAGGTGAAAAAGCACAACAGCAAATGTGACGTGTGGCCTGGTTCTGCTCTGGGGGTGACAAGTGGAGGCCCAGGCTCAGGTGGAAGCAGGGACGCTGTCTCCACGCAGCCCCGGGACGAGGTCTGGTGGCTTGGATTTTCTTAAATGTGAGAATGAATCCTAACTTCTGTGAGATGCAGATCACCCAGCCCCTGGTAGAGCCAGAGGCCTGGAGGGTTTAGGGTAGTGTGCACAGCTCACAAATTTTCTGTTCTGTAGAATTTCTGTGCTGTTAACTTTGTAATCAGAAAAAAAAAGGGCTGGGGATTTAGTTCAGTGGCACCGTGCCTGCCTGGCAAACGTAAGGTCCTGAGTTCCAGCCCTGGTAC